AACCACCTAACATCTCTGGTGCTTGCTGATGAGTTCTAGCGTAGCAAGCCAGCTGATAACACACATGTGGAAGTCCTGTGGTCTTTGAACTGATGGAAAGGGCTTTCCCAAACTTTTCCAAGAGAAAAACACAGCAAAACCATTAGGCAATGTGGTGCTGTAGCTATTTGAGAAGAAAATTCAGAAGATAAGATTGTGTGGAGGTTGAGGGTTTGTTGTTTTGATTTTCTAAATATTTTGAGAAGCAATTAAAAATTGCCACTATTTAGGTCTCATTTCTATCATGAAAAGGTGTATTTTATATACATACAGTAGGAAAACGTTGTTCCAATGGCCAACCTTCTGAGCTCCAGATTATGAATCTGAGCTCCAAACTTACTTTATTTCTTTTCTGAAGGATTTCCTGGGCTCTGGGGGACTTTGACTTTTGAAGCAAATAACAAAAAAGACCTCTCTAGTTCCTGGTTAGCCTCTCTTGCAGCTTAACCATTGTTGCAGAGTTGGGCTGGTTTTTGTTGATGGGTGTACAGTTCATCCAGGGGCGTGCAGCAGTTCTGATAGTTAAGGTGACAAGTAAAAGGCTAACAGTTTAATTAATGTGTGTATAGTGTGCAACGTGAGGAACACAGTGCTGGTTGAAGAAAAATCCTTTACTTAGAACTAAGTAATCTCAGTTTGTGCTCTGGTCTCGTTGACTATCTAAAGATTAAATATAATACTGCATAGCACAAGTACGGGTGTCTGTCAGGCTAGATGCAATGATGTGTGGCATGATGAATAAAACAGGAAGCTTCAAAAGATAAGTAGTTCTTTATTTTTTTTCAGTGGGAGCTTACATTACAAAGTAGGATTCCTTCTAGGGGACGTTTTCAGATAGTCCAGGTCTGTAATGGGTAAAGGGGAAAGAAGGTGAGGAAGATCCATCAAAAGAGACGCTGCTTTCCCTTCCAGACTATTATGCCTGTTATGTGAGTTAGCACTTTATTTCTGCCATTTCAGGAGCCCTTAGGACTGTGTAAGTAGAGTCCGAAAAGCACGAAATGTTACAGCAACAGAATGGTTTAATGAGATTTGTTTTACTTCTTACTGAGGTTTACTGCAGGTCTGATTTCAGTCAGTGGGAAGATGTACTTCACTGGTTTTACACCTGCTTGTCTCATTAATTCCTTCAAACAGTGCTAGGTGCAATAGTGATTAGTGATCCCACTGAGGTCGTGGTATTACTCAAAATGGTGAGTGCTGTTTTCGGTGGTGCTGGGAGCATACTCCTAATGTGTAAGGGCCTTAGGCGGGTGCTGGGTTGTCTTACTCTCTGCACACACTTAGGGCTGTATTCAGAAGACGTTTGTGGGTGTCCTCCTGATCAATACAGTTAAGTAGCTCTAAAGTCACTGGAACAGTAGCTGGAGGCCTACAAAGGCATGGAGCAGTGGGCTGTTGGAAGATCCTCAGCAGACACAGGGATTTGGGTAGAATTTCTTGACATGTGGCAGGTGATATACAGTGATACATGACAGTTGTGATTTAGTCTGTGGTGAAGGGCATACTTGTGGTGACAACATAATTTAGAGTGATGTAATTGAGCTTAGGCAGCACAAGTCTAATTGAAGGTTTTTAAGTGTACTTTTAGAACTGCTAGATGGACAGCACGTACTTCTCTGAACACATGTGGTTATTGTAAAAATGAGGAAAACCATTTATCTATATTATTTGAAATTGCTAGTTGCATTAACTAGACAGAAGTTGTTTGAGGCTGCCTTGATTAGAGTATGTGTTGTGCTTAAGGTGCAGGTCTTGAATAATATAGTGATGAATATACCTTGTAAGTTCTCAGATTTCCCTGGTCCTCCTAGAGACCAAGGAGACCTAAGGGCAACACCTTCTAATATTTTAATGATCTCTTAAGGCTTTCATTAGGAATGATCCCATTATTTTGAACACTCTTGCAATGCAGCAGGTTGTCATGGCTGTCAGAGTTAAGATTGCAGTTATTCCTTCTAATAATGAGAACTTGGAAAATGACAGATGGATATGAGTTTCACCAAGTACTTGTACATTGCTCTGGCTTTGTCTTTCTGGATCTTGTTTGCTTATTTGGGTTGGTATCCAAATAACGTTTGCACATACCATATGTTTAGCACGTCAGCGAAGAGTGTTGCCTTTCAGATACCCAGCTTGGTTATGAGTGTTTCAGCATACGGAAGAAGTGCCCATAGGTGATGGTAAAGAGCTTTGCATATGGGAACTTCATAGCCTCCTCATATGGCAAAAAACAGTGTTCCTTAGGAGAGGTGTTCATAGCTGGGAAACTTCTACTTGTCAACCATGTTATTTGGGCCTTCCCTTGTACGATTTCACAATATTTCCTTTTGTCAAATTTAGTCTTGAACTGTTTTCAAGTTATAGGGGGAGGAGACATGAAATGTTGAGTGTGAGAGGGGGATTTTTTTATTTCTGAAAACCATTTGTCTTTGGTTTGATTGAGGAGCTCTGTGATTGATGTTACATATTGTTTAGCTTTCTTAAGTGGATTGATATCCATATAAATCTATAAGGAGAGTCATTGAAAAAGTGCATGTCAACAGATGCAGAAAATAAATGAATGTAGTAAATACTTTGTTTACAGAAGGTGGCCTTCAGACACTGCAGTGTATTTTCCTGTGTCTGTATACAGTTAATAAGCACAAATCACATTGTACCATCATATGCAAATATGATTGATGATACTTTAAAAAATAAGATGAAGTAATACCATCTAGCTCACCTGCTGTGTCAGTTCTGCCTTGTTGTTTTAACTATCTTCTGGGTTTTTCTTTCTCAAATACTGAAACCTAAAGAACCTGAATAAATATGTTAAATAAGTTTCCTACCACCTTTTATGGTTGTGAAGTAGGAAAACATTGAGATGTGTGATACATCCATTTCTGCTGAGTAATGAATTAACCATTTTTCAAGTTTAATCGGAAAGGTTCAGCAAAAAAAGTATATTGTTTTCTAGAGAAGGTAAACATCAACTCTAACTGTAATTCACAATGTGTTTAAAACAATTATTCTTTATCATTAAAGTTAATAATATGCACATTAACCTCTGATGTAGTCTGAATCAATACTGCAGTTTGGGAGATGTGACCCCTGGACAGCTTTGTCTAAATATTGATTTCATTGTCATTTGTGTAAGATATGAAACAAATTACATGCCTCCCTAATATCATTAATGTAGCCCCATTGAGCTACTCAATTTATGGCTTATAATGCATGACAAAGCATTACAGAATTATTGAAGACATTGTGAAATACAATTGCTTAGTGTGCTAGATTTGATTGTGGAAGGCCAATGCCAACACTCAATAATTTTCAAATACTTTGCTGTCCAAGGGAAGTCCAGAGACAAGAATGAACCACTCTGTAGCATGCAACTCAGTTGTTAATTTCCATCAGACAAACTTCCCTTGGGTTCTGGTAGCAGCAATTTATTCTACAGCTTTCTACTTATATATTTGTAGCCTTACATGAAAATAATGTGTATACTTGTATTCTGTGCCAAAGGCAATTGTTCTTTTCAATTACTGGAAGAAATCAAAATAAGTAAGAGGGATCACATCCCTCTGTCTTGGCCACCATTTATAGCAATTGTCATTACTGTCATAATTTGAAATATGAGTTAAATAATTTACTCCTCACTGTGATTTCTTCCCTTTATTGACTCCTTATTGCAACTGTCTTCTCACCATGCCCCTCATGTTTTCATTACTGCTCTTTCCATCATAGCTGTTCCTCAGATCTTCCTTGCAATGCATTCTTACCCTTCCAGGAAATTTCAGGGTTGCCCCCAAACCCTGGAGATAGCAATCTTCCCTTCTTTTACTTCCTCCCTCTCTGGAGAGCTCCTTTTTTACTCAAGCAAACTGTTGTTAAACACAAGATTCCGGTGTGAACTTTCCTTTTTCTCCTTTCCAAATACAAACATTGGCCTTGTGGATATCTATGAAAAAGCTTCCTGTAAGTTTCATGTCTTCCCCCTAAACTTTCAGTTGGGATGGTTTTTCTTACTCTTTGCTTGGTATCTAAGCACTGCTCACCTGCAGTCGTTGGCTATAAGCCGCTTATTTCGCATTCAGAGGCACCCCCCCACACACACACGCTCCCTTTCCCCATTCTTTTTCATTAGATAAAAAAAAGAAATCAACTTCCATATCCAGCCTAGGATACCGCTCCCATTATCTACATAGCACATTTTCAAAGCAGCATCTTCATACTTTCTCTTGTGGTGGCTTTCATGCTGAGGGACCTTCTTGTAAATATATGCAAAGCTACTTCATTGTGCTTTAATGTATACAAAAATCTCAACCATATTTGAGCTTCTGCTGTGCTGAGACTACAGCCCATCATTCCAGCTGATACCGTCTCATTGTTTAATTGTACTTGCCCATTTTCTCTGGTGTTAGGCTTTTATCTGAGGCTGTCTTCAAGGCTTTTTGATTTTGGGGAGAGGATTCGTAAACAGCATGAAACATGTAGGGCATAGTAATCTTTGGATAACTATCATAGGTACTATGTTATTACAAATAATATGGAATAATACATTTCCTGCATATCAAAATGCTCTAATTACAGTCAACGTAGGATTGGCACCATTAAAGTAAAGTTCTCTTAGCTGTCTCAGAAGGGTGCTTGGCACCTTTTAGGAACATGCTGGTTTTTCATCAGAAAAGTCTGTGTGGTGGGGGTTTTTTCTCTTTTCTTTTTTTTTTTTTAAAGACAAAAAAGATGTTCTTTTAGTGAAGAATGTTAATAGATTACAGAGATGAACAGCCTGTTGTGATCATCTTGAATATAATGCAGACCACAGGGCTTCCTTGAATTAATTCCTGAGAGAATTACAATGCAGCTTAGGAAAAGAAGGAAAAAAAAAAACCAAAGCCCTAACTAATTTTTATTTAAGCCTTGCTCATGGTGGGTTTTCTTAGTTCATAAACTTCGTTCAAAATTTTCTCTTACAGGTAAAAGTGACCCATTCTGTGTAGTTGAATTGAACAATGACAGACTGCTGACACATACCGTCTACAAGAACCTCAATCCAGAATGGAACAAAATCTTCACATTGTAGGTGTTCGGATTTTGTGAGTGTTTGGGGGGGTTCGGTTTGAGGTTTTTTGGGGGCAAGGAGAGGGGGGGTCTGTCTGCTGTTTTGCAGGGGATGTACATGTGAATCAAAGATACCTACTGCTCATTCTGAAGAAAGACAGCGATGACATACTGATATTTCTAAATGACACAGCTGAATACCTTTTTGACGCTTTAAACCATGAAAAAAATTAGAGAAGAGGTGCGATTTTAAAGGTGAAAGAGCAATGTCTGTTTCCTGGAAACCAGGTACGAGTAATGCTGTGCAGTCCAGACTCCCACTACCTTCAGTGAGAGTTTCACGGGCCAAATCTAGTGTGATGGGTAGAAAAAAGGATATTGTGATTACACCCTTCATTAAAATGTGGTTGTTAACTTTAATAAACACCAGATAACTATATAAAGGAAGGAATTTTAAATGCATTCGTACTTCTCTGAATGATGATCAGATATTTTCCACTTGTTCTTTCCATTTACCAACTGCACTTCTCGCATACCATCTCGTACCGTACTAGTACAATGCTGCCACTGGGTAAAATGCAGCCTGAAACATTGAGTTTATTGGGAAGTGATGCAGTTGGGTTTTTTTATCCTTCTGTTATTTTGAAGACAGTAAAAGGCTCTGACAAAATACAAAAAAGTCCTCCCCTAACAAAATGTTCCTGTTATTTGTCTTGCTCCGTTGCCTTCTTTTTCTCCCTGGTTCTCTCTGTCTGATGGCAATGTGACACCAATGAGTAGAAAACTGATCCGTTGCAGGTTTCTCTGCTGCTGAAATCAGCTCACAATCCGCTGCAAAACCAGTAAAGCTTTAGCTTTGTGCACACTTACTTCGCTCTATCGTACATGGAAATATTGTGTTTTGCCCTTGGTCTCAAAACACAGTCTGATTTTAGGGGTTTTTTTCCCCCTCTCAATTTGTCATTCATATATTTGGCATCCGTAGCTTTTCTTGCCCTGCAGTGAGGAATGAACTCGAAACAAAAGAAAAAAATCTCACAACAGTTGTACCTCTTCTTAGCTTATTAACATAGTTCTCATTTATGCATCTGCAAACCCATGCTAAATTCTTCATTAATTTATATTTAATTATCTACTAATAGAGCCAATAACTAATCAACCTCTACTGCTTGACAGTGTTCTCTGCATAAGAAATTGCCTGGTTTTGTAGAGTACAAAAGGTTTATCAGGAATCAAATAGAAAAACTCAAAAGGCCTTCAAGGCGAGTTCTCACCTCTCTTCTATGTATATTTGCATTGACCATTTTGTTTATCCTCAGATTTGTTAATTAATTTTGGGCTAGCAATCCAGTTTCATCTGGAGGCATATATTTTAGTGAAGTTAAACTGCTATGCTTGAATTTGTATTTCCTGGATCAGCCATTTGATCAAAGATGAGTTCTCTCAAAGAACTTCCTTTTTTTCTCCAAATAAGGAATGTGAATTTTTCACTTGAGAGTTTACAATGTACAGTGACATTTGTTGTGCATGGTGGTGGGGTGTTTAATAGCTCGCAGGCAAAAACCAGTAGTAGCTAAAAAAAAGCATCATTTCATATTGCTTGTTCCTAATTTGTTGTAATCACTGTTGTATATTTGTAATTAAGCAAGGATTTTAAAATTAAAGACCTTGTTCTCAGTGCAAGGATGTGCTTGTGTAGCTTGTAATTATTTTAGTTTTCAAACCTACAGATTTCACGGTGTTTGCAGTAAGAATTGCTGCAAGGATAGTGGTGTTTAAGGGATAGTCTTTAAAGGCTCCCAGTCCTGCTGCTTGCGGCTGTAAATCCCCCAGTGCAGCTCTGCACTGGTAATCCTTGCAGCTCATGTGGTGCAAACCCCAGGCAGGAGATTTAAAGCAACATCCTTCGGAAAACTTCTGCTGGGAAAGCCTCGCAGAGAGAGCGAGGAGTCACTGCAGCCCTTAGGAAAGCGTTTGGGTTGTACGGAGGGATGCCTTATGTTCTGTGCTCTGCCATGGAAAAATAGACGGGTATCTGGTTTTGCTAACCTTTCACGCTTTTGTCCTTGGTACCTGCTGGCGTAGGTGACTTCTCTCTTCTGTGTGTGCTTCTCCCTTTGTAGCAATATTAAAGACATCCATTCGGTGCTTGAGGTGACAGTTTATGATGAAGACCGCGATCGGAGTGCTGACTTCCTAGGCAAAGTTGCTATACCGTTGCTGTCTGTAAGTTTCATTCACCTGACAGACTGCTCTGTATTTTTCCTGTTGAAGGGGGGGAAGAGGAAAAAAAAAAAAAAGAAAAAAAAAAAAAAGATTTGCAGCTCTGTGTCTGTCATTTCTCAACCAAGGTCTGTAATAAGAACACTAAAATTTTAACATACTCAATTCACGGCCATGTTGAATCCCATGATAGTTAATTTTTCCTGACAGACTCGGTCCTGGTAATGAACAGGTACTTGTCAGACTTGCCACAGTTGTTTTGGGTTCTCTGTCAGTTTCAGCAGCTGGGGGTCAGGGGTCACCGGGGGGGTCTATTCAGCGGAGACCGCGAGACAGACGGCTGTCATGTCCTTTTCCTGCAGATTCAAAATGGTGAACAGAAAGCCTACGTCTTGAAAAACAAGCAGCTGACAGGGCCAACAAAGGGGGTCATCTATCTTGAAATAGATGTGATTTTTAATGCTGTAAGTCTTAACTTTGGCTTTTTTGTACTGCTAAAGAGTTCAGTTTCATGAAAGCTTTTGTTCCTGATTTGTAGAGAATTTCTGTCATTCCTCATTTTCTCTAAACCTAGATGTATACTACAGAATGCTCTTCTGCCACTGCCTGGCACACCCACTCTTTTTGTTGCCGCCGCCGCTGCTATTGCTGCTAATGTAAGGAGCAGCAACTCATGCCTCTGTGTGCATTTATGTGTCGCAGGCTTGGCAGCCATGGCTTTGAAACTTCGCAATTTTTGCAAATTGAAGCATGTCTTATTAGCAAGCAGTGAGTACGCTTGAAATATTGACACCCCTTCTAATACACAGGTGAAAGCCAGCATACAAACCTTAATGCCCAAAGAACAGAAGTACATTGAAGAGGAAAACAGACTGTCTAAACAGGTAAAGAGTAAGGAAACACTAATCCTTTCCAAAAGCCTTAATATCAAGTGTGCGCATCCAAATATCTGGTATCATACTGCTGAGGGGAAAGAATAACATTTTCATTCACTGTTTACGAAAGAATATGATAGGTCGGAAAAGGCAGAAACAAAATACATGGGTTTATTGTGTCTCCTCTATAAATTGCAGCTTAATTTCCATGAAACACATGAATAAGAACACAGTTGAAACCATCAGGTTCCACACATATCAGATTATAGCACAGGTGCATGTAAACCAAGTCTTGCATAAATTTTTGCTGTTAACCTTGACCCGAAAGATCTCCATTTGTTGCAGGGTAGAGAGTCTTTCAGCATTCTTTGAGCCAAATTTTAAATAAGTTAGTTGAGCAAGGCTTGAATCAAAGGTGAAGGCAGACTAAAACTCTTAATTACTTTTGAGAGTCCTGTGGGTAGGAAATGTCTGGACCCATTTTCTATTTTCTCTGGATATTTTTGCCACTCACAATTTTAATGTTTTACTAAAAATTATTTAAACACACATCTTGTCTTTTTCCCCACTCAAACTACTTTTGATTCAGTTTTTCATGTTCCACAAATGATGTATTTTATGTGGAGAGAACTGGGCTTCTGATTGGACTGTGGGAACAAGACTTTTGTTGTTTGCAATGAAAAGGCAAAGGTCTAGAAACTGTTTTTTATTTTGCAGAAAGCTTGTAGATTTGAGCGTAATTTAAATTATCTGCTGGATGAATTTTATATCAATTGTATGATGTATGTCATTAAAAAAGACTTCAAGAGGCAGAATGTTGCTTTCTTTACTGTTGTGAATAATGCAGTTACTAAAGCAGCATTTTGTACCACTATTCCTGGAAAGCAGCAGCAAGGCCTTTTATTCAAGATACATTCTTCTCCCCACTCCCATAACAGAAAATTCCATTGTGCTTTTTGCCGGTGGCAAGAGGAGTTAACTTTAAATACCCACTTTGGGTTGGTTTGGGTTTTTTTTTAGATTAGCTTGCACAGGATACCCCACCACAATACCATTGTGGGGAGGGGAAGAAATCTTTATGTATGGCTGATGCGGTTGATTTTGAAACATCCATGTTTTCCAAGAGTGAATGTGTCTTACCTACCTAGTGTTTTCTATGCTATTGAATACACAAATTAAATCATTCACTGGTTTGTTCACTTTTTTGGTCATGCGAATTGCCATTTTAGAGGATTCAGGGGTATTCTTCTCAATCAAAGCCCAGCACTGTTATGTCTCATCTCTATATGGACTGAATGTATGCAGTTAAAGTCACTTTGATAAATACTTAAAAACGTGTGGTCAAAATACATCACAGCAGACAAATTTGTTACAAGTGAAGGAAAAATTGATTGTAAAGGATGCAGGTGATCTTAATTAGATTAGAGCAATAATTTTGCATGGCTTCAGGTTAGTGTCCTACAGCATCTTTTTATTGAGAAAGGCCAAAGTTTGTTAAGTTCTTGACAATGGGGAAAGTCTTGCCTACTTAATAAAACTCTGAAATGTTAATAACCGAATAATTCCTGAAATTTTGCAACTAGTTTTTTAAAATTGAACAACAATTTGTGTGCTGTTTAGAATTAAATTCGACAAATATCAATTGACACAACTAACAAATTCTCTCTCTTCCAAATCTCTCAAATTTTAAACTACCTTTCTCAATTTGTGACCTAGACATCTTAAGATGTTATTTTCTCAATCTTCACCCAAATTAAGAATAACAATAGTGTAAGCATGAGCCTCTTCTGAAGCTTTCGGGATTTTGAAGCATTTTCATTGATTCATTTTTTAACAGCTACTATTGAGAAACTTTGGCCGGATGAAGCGCTGTGTCATGGTGCTTATAAGTGCCGCCTACTACATAAGCAGTTGCTTTGACTGGGATTCTCCCCCAAGAAGTCTTGCTGCTTTTTTGGTATGATCTTCTTTATATTGTTGTTAATCACCCTGGTGTATGTGTGTTCTAAAATGAGAGATAATACAATGTTGATGGGTGGAGAGAGATTGGTCTGACTATTTATTTTTTTTATTTAAAACTTTGCATTATGAAGATACCGCAAATCACGTTTATTCACCTTTTTTAAAAAAGTAATTATGTTTAAAATGTCACACAAACAAGGTAGTTGGTTTTTTTAGCTACAATTGTACAAATAACAGAAGCAAGTCATACAACTCAAAATACAGTCAGTGAGCTACGGATGATAAGTCTTGAGCTTCTTACACATCACTTCTGTTAAACTGTGTTCAGCTCCCTTGTATATTGCATATTTACTCTAAAGCCTTTTGACCATTTTGTGAATGTTTTTAGATATGAATATAAAATTAGTGTTATTTTGTCCTCCACATATGAATATACGTTACACCTATAACTTTTGTTGAAGTACAATGCTCTGATCCCAAATAGTTGCTTCCTTACTACAATTTAGTGTTCTTGGTTTAAAAAGCAGAACAAACAAAAACAAACCCACAACTATAAAATGATGAATGCAAACAGACTAGTACCTTTTAGACATCAGGCTCTGCTCATAATTCAGCTGTGAGTTCATTTTTAGTAATTTAAACTACTATTTCACCATAAACCTTAGCTTCGTTAATATTAACCTTTATTTTCCTGTTAAACTTGGAAAATTCCAAGCATAATCATAAATTAGATTGTGTTTCCCAGAGGAGTGTCTTTTTATTTTCACAAAAAATGTGAGCTACAAACAAGACCAGAGTCCTGGTTTGTTTTTAGCCTGTGGGAGTCCCACCGGGAGTGAAAATACATGCATGGACTCACTTTCTGGATCATCTAAATTTATTAAGTTGGCTGAAATACTGAAGTTATGGGCCTGTCTACCATAAATATGAACAGGGAATGGTTTTGGTCTTACTTTGAATAATTGTAGAGGGAGTCTGGTGACAGTGCTCCTAGCTTGGGTGCCTGAAGCTCAGGTGCTTCAAATTTGGAGAAATCAAACTGGGCACTGCAGCTGGCTGCACTGGAGCAGTAAAATGGGGTTAATTATGTTTTTTTGCAGGAAGTGTCTTCTAGCAGGGCTCAATTTGTGCTGACTTGTTAAACCCCCTGTAGCCTGTCAGAGGATGGCAGCAAGCTGTTGGTCCTTGGCTGCAATGTTCATCAGGAGTACAGGAGATACATATGATGTTCAAATTCTGAGGGTTTTTACACTTTTACTGATGTCTGTAGTAACTACACTATGTGCAAAAAATCTAAATACAACAGTTACTGTCTACTTTAGAATGATGATCTGTCATTAGTTCAGCTTAAAACGATCAGTACTTCACAGGAAAATGCAGATTTCTAAGGAAAACTCAGATGTTCACATTGCTATTACTGCTCCAGTTAGTAAATACTCGTCTGTCCAAGTCTGTTTTTAATATGGATGTGGAACACCTACCTGTTAGTGGTGGAAGAAAGGGTAACAGAAAGACATCCTATTCTTTGGGGCAAATGAAATAATTAATTCTTTCTCATGATGTGCTGCTGTGGCCATGGAAGAGGTTGTGTTGCTGTGAAATTGTAATCGTTTCGAATTATAGAAGAAATTCAGTGTCATAATAGGTAGTTGGAAATACATAAAACAAAATTTGAGCAGGGAGGTCTGTAGTAAGTGTATGTCTTTATTGTAGTTATAGTCGATTGCAGTATAAATGTGTTCCTGATGTTATGTATATATTTTCATATATATATATGTCTCAAAAGTGTACTTTTTTTAGTTTCTTTTTAGTATTTGTTTTGCTCTGTGGTAGTTATGCATACATTATGTCTGCATCAGTACAGTGACTTCACAGACGTGTTCCTACTCTGCCTTCAAAGGTCTGGCCTGTGCTTTTCAACCTGATGTTGTTCTCTCCAAGGATCAAATCATCCCTATGTTGGGCAAAAAAAAGGATACGTTTTTGCTAGCCAAGTCAAATCTACATGAACTTCTGTCATGATCATAAGCTTTGGATTTAGATGGTTTCTGGAGTTTCATAGCTGTCATAGGCCCTTGAAAAATCTTGAAAGTGGCTCACTTGCACATGTAGTGCTGAATTATGCTTGCACTAAGGTTACACTGGAATTTAACAGATTCTATAAAAAAGCTGTACTTATACCTATCATTTTCATCTCTTCACTATTCTACAAATCTTATCTCCTCTTGAAGTTGTCTCCCAGAGGTTGAACAATGTCATAGAAAAATGTCAGGGCCAGAAAGGAGATGAGAAATAGGCTGTTCTGGAGGTTTCCATCTCTGTAGGCAGACTAATAAGTAATATCCAAGAAGTAAATGTTTAAACTTACCATTTCTTCCTTCGTGTTGGATTTGAAGACGTACCTTGATGAATAACATCACAATACACATTTACAGCCATTTCACAGAAGTTATGTATGTGAGGGTTGATTTTTCAGATCTCCCATTGCCCCAAGTTCTTGGCGTTACAATTACAGGTACCCTTTTCTCATACGTCACCCCATGGCTTTACTTTCTGATGGGGCTACTGTTACAGAAGACCACAGGTGAAGAAATTCTGGCAGACCAGATCAGTTTTCAGAAACATAGTAGGTTAGTTGTAATTAATCAGAGATTAAAGAACGGAACGCACAGAAAGCCTTGAATAATGAGCTGCAGTTGTCTGCTTTATGCTCTTCGCACACAGAAGTGTTCACTGCAGCTCATTTTAAAGTCATTCTCCTTGGACAGTCACAGTAGTTGAGACTAAAGGTGTCCATTGAAGGGGCTTGCTGATTATTTATACTTCAGAACTTAGCTGTCTCAAACCTTTACTATTTGGGACATTTTAGGAAAGGAAATACTTTTTTCAATATTTTAGCATGGTTCTTCATCAAATGTGTCCAAAGGCACCGGCTCAATGACCGTTGTTGCACATGGTGTACCTAGAAGTACAGAAACCTAGACGTTAAGTTTTCAATGTTCTAGATTATGCATTTCCTCAACTAAACAATATTTTATCTGCTTTGGTTGAACTTCATAAGCTCATTGACCTTCATGGGGGATTTTCCCTGAATGAATTAAGGTTTTGACTCCTTTTTTTTTATTCTGTGCCTCAGTATTTCACAGCAGAATAATTGCTACCCACACCTATTTTTTTATATGTTCATGCTAATATGACTGTGACATATTATTAGCTGTTATTTTTCAGATATTCAGAAGTATTTGTAAATATCTCATGAAACATAGATTGATCTGGCTAGAATATGACTTTGGATTTGAACCATCAGAAGATTTGATATTCTCTCCTCCTTTTTCGGATTTATTTCCTGTTAAATAGAGGGAGTATATAGCAACAATGTTAAATTAATCTTTCCATTCCAGAACAGCTTTATTATATAGCATGTAGCCCTGTTGTGTCTAGAGACTGATCAAGAATGTTTACGTGTTTGTGGTTTTGCTTCTTAAGCACCTAAATACATTGGAAAAAATAGAATATGTAAAGAGAGCGTTTGCTGTAAATTCATATGATTTTCTGTATTTAAAACTGACCTTTGGATTATTTGGCAGTTATTTTTTATATAATTTTAATTCAGTAATTAATATGGTATGTTTCGGGTAGAAGAACTTTATTAGAGTATGCAAAATTGGATGGTTTTTCTTTAGATTAATCTACTGTGGGCACTGAAATGTCTACTAAATTGGGCCTAATTTCCATCAGCTTCTTGACCAGACATTTGTGTTCTTGCAGATGTCAGTGGGTGCAACACAGGGGGAAAAAAGTGTACACTCTTTTTGTCCAGTACTGTCATTTCTCACTGTAATGAGCACAAAAATAATTGGACAACTGAGCTATCAGTAAAAGGACACACTTCAATGTGAGTCAATGAATTATTTTACGGGACAAACTTTAATCTTTAAATGTGATTGTAGATAATTTGTGCTACCATCTGTCCGTTTGGAATTCTTTTAGCCTTTTCAGTCGTTATACAGTAAGTGCTGCTGTGTTTAACATTAACATTTGATATTTTACACATTTAATTTCTGTACTGCTGCGTGGTCCTTAGGGAGCTTCGCTCTAGTGCTACATGAGAGAGACAAAGTATTGATCAGTTAACATTTCAGCTACATTTATGTATGTCGCAAAATTAATGAAAATGCCAGACAAAAATGTCAGAGTGCACAAAAAGGTAGAATTTAAATTTGGTAGTTTAATGAAAAGTTTAAGATGTGCATTATCAAAAATGTCCCCTTGCCTTTAAAGTACAATTCATATCTGAGTAACTAAAGGGAACCACATATTTTACTTAGAGGAACATTGAACATGAAATACGAGGGAATATATAATCTTCAAAGTGTTTGGTATCTCAAAATGGCCTCAGTAAAGCACTTTAATTGTCTGCTTGAACATTTAACAGTTACTCATAAAATAAACTTGTTTCCTTTCTCATTTGGAAGCAGAGTACCCTCACCCGATCACACGCGTACTTTCCAGTATGTCCTCAAAGCTCTCTATGAACATGTTCTTCTATTCCTGTTCTTATTCCTCTGAATCTTTCTATACGTATGTATGCGTGCACATAGAAAATACATTTCTTTCCTAGGCTTTGAAATATTGATAAAATGACTCACCCTGCATCCAAGTCATTTGTCTAGTCTAACTCACCTTTCCTTTGTCTTCTAATGTCACACAATTTATGTGTGAAAATGACATAATAGCATCCCTGGCCTTTGATTAAGTGTTAGTTCTCTTGCACACACACCATTTAATTGTGGTGGTGTCATGCTAATTAATTGAACCCAAGAAAGAAACAGGAGCAAAAAGAGCTGGTTTCTAGCAGGAAATGAGACAGTAATTTTGTCAAGTTGCTTAGCTTTTCCCTATTAAAAAGCGAAATGAGCACTACTCTGTATTTCAGAAGCAACTTTCTCTCAAAGCTGAAGGAGAGAGGTTATATTTTGGGGGAGAGTCGATATG